GTCCCCGGCGTCGGGCGATACGAATTCCACACCCCTGAACACAGATTAGGCTTCTTGGTTTGTACCTTCAGCATCTGGTCATTTGGACCCTCTGGTCCTCTTGCTTTGTCTGTTTTCTCAGACTAGTCACACAGGCTGGTCCTCACCACATCGATATATTGCCACACATGCTGTATCACCCCGGCTTGCCACACAAGCTGGTTCCCAGGGTTGGACCCTCCAGACCCGTGCACAGAGACCTCCTCCTGTCTCCCAGGAGGAACCTGGAATATCTTATGGAGGCCCTAATGAGCCAGCTTCCTTCAGCTGAGCTGGTTATCTCTAGGCCTAAGCATTCTTAACACTTCCCCCCCCCCTAGAGTAAGAACCTCAGCACTACACCTATAACTGGGCCCTACAAATCTGCCATCCTGGCTATACCCAGACATCCCCATCTGCCTGCTGCCACACCACGTATCGGTGATCTTGTGCATGTGCTTACACCTGGCTTTGAAAACAATCGGGGAACTTTAACTCATCCCTCAGCGCTATGTTAGAACATCTGGCCACTTTCTGGCTTTCTAAAATCCTATTTATAGAGAAAATTCATGCGTTATCCACATTGCTGACATCTGATTTCTTTACTGGATCAGAAGCTTACTGGAGAGATGACCGTGATTTTATCTTTCATTCCCCCTGCTGCAGTTATAATGGCCGGCATTGATGGCGTGGTGTTTGATTACCAGTATACCTTACAGCAGCCGGCAAAAGCCGTATTCATTAGAGAAGAACTCAAGCCAAAATGTTTTCTGGAATTTTGAATAGCGTGAGATAAGGCCTCTGATTTTTTTTTTGTCAGTCCAGTTCCCACTGGTGAGTTGAGGATAATGAATGTGTCCTTTGTATGCACCGGCTGTGAGATGACCTGTCATTGATCCTGGGAGTTGGGAAGTAGATCGGCTTCCTCTCGTATTGATCTGTCCGCTTCCTGCCATACTCTGTCTTATTTAATGGACTTGGAGTGTAGCAGACAGAGCTATCACCGGCTTTTAGCTTTTGGCACATACATGTACCGGTTGTATCTGTGAAGATCCTCATCGATCCTTGTCATGGTATGGCTAGTAGTAGTTGGTCACATTCAACTGGACTTATTGTGTAATGTTGAAGGCATTTTGTAGATTCTCCAAGAGACTTCTACAGTTCTAATGAGTGTCAGGAGCATCCCCCAATATTAATATCCCATGAAGTAAAGTACTGTATGTCACCAGCACACCAACAATCTTCATCCAATAACGCCTTTTATCGATGCTCAGTCATAGTGTCATGTACCTAAGTGGAGACTGACAGTTGAGGAGGCTTCCCATGCAGTTCGTGTCCCTCAACCCTGAGGATGGGAACAGGTGGAGGAGTGACAGCGAGCTGCACGAGTGCCAAGTAGAAAGTCCATGATCTGGAACGGAGGCAGGTCAGGCAGAGCTGGGTTCAAGCCGGGCAGGCATCAGGGTGTTTGAAGCAGAGGACAGGAGCGAGATCCAAACGGAAGCCAAGGGTCAAATCCAGCTGATCAGCGAAGTACAAAACAGGAAGCAGAAGGAAGTCCAATGAACAGGCCGAGGTCAGGAGGCGGGCAACAATCGAGAATGGTCAGAGGCAATCCGGGTCAAACACAGGAAGTCAGCAAACAAGGCAGAAGCAAGGAACACACTAGCTGAAGATCATCCAGGAACTAAGGATATGGCAGGCTGGTTTATATAGGCCAATCCATTAGCCGCAGACGTGTCATTTCCTGTGTGCCTTACGTGCGGAAGTCCGTTGTGCGCTAGCGCACGCTTTCTAGCTACTCGGAAAACAAGGCCATGCGCAGAGGTGCTTGGTGCCTTACACATAGTGTCAGATAGCAATGTTTCAAGACCAGAAAGACTTCCTTCATCAGTCATAGTATGACCAACATTTATACCCACAGGTGGCACAGACACCTCAAAGGGAGGTATGAAAGTGGTGGAAAACCTCTGGTCTTTCGAGCATGGTGTCAAACAGATGGCAATATTTGGAGACCACGTACACTTCCTTCATCGGGCACAGTGTGACCAACATGACCCAAAAAAAGTCACACCCTGTAATATTTAGTTGGACTGCTTTTAGCTTTGATTTCGGCACATATTCGCCATGGTATCGTTTCCATGATTTATTTTATTTCCATCCAGAGTTGCATTCATTATTTCACCAAGATCTTGTAGTGATAATGGGAGTGTTGGACCACTAATGTCTTCTCCAGCACATCCCGAAGATTCTCAATGAGGTCTGGACTCTGTGGTGGCCAATCCATGTGTGACAATGATGTCTCATGTCCCCTGAACCACTCTGTCACAATGTGAGCCCGATGAGTCCTGGCATTGTCATCCTGGAATATGCCCAATGTGCCATCAGGGGAGAAAACTCCATTGATGGAGAAACCTGGTCATTCAGTATATTCAGTTAGGCAGCTGACCTCATTTTTATGGGGGAAAATACAATTGCTGACCCTAGGCCTGACCAACCCAGCAACCCCAGATCATAATACTTATCCAGTGGAAGGCTCTGAGCTATTTGCTTAGCTAAATCCAAGTGAGGGCCTTTTTTTTGGGGGGGGG